TGTTCAAACAACTGAATGGCTATGGTGTCACAGAATTATTTCGGAGCTGGTATAAATCGCAGTAATCACGTGATTAATTATCTCATTTTATAGATGAGGAAACCGAGACCCAGCAAGATTAACCAAATGGCCCACACATAACCACAGAGACAGAAAAATCTCATGTGCTCCCCCGCCATCCCTTCCCAGAATCCTTATCACTAACTGCCATTCCAGGTTAATTCTGAAATATTAAAGAAAGCCATGATATGCAAAATACCCAACACAAACATATGGATGAATGGTGACTACTATGGTATGTAAATCCTATCTCAATTTAAAGGAAATAACTGGGTATCATGGGACACCAAAGACTTAGTTGGTAGGAGAAATTAAATATTTATATTTTGGTTCTGACATTGGCCCTGTGAAATGTGACATTACTCCTGAGATAATCAAGAGGTACAGAGAAAAGTTTTGTGGTTCACATCTCCAGAGTACTCCGATTTAAAAAAGAACAGGCATGGGGTGGGGGGGGAGAACAAAAGATTTGAACAGAGAATTTAAGTTGAGGTAGAAATTAAAAATAGCTACACAAGTGAAATAAATATTCAAAGGGCAGAGATTTTTATATAAATCACATTCCATGTGCAAAATAAAATTTTTCCTCTCCATCTACTATGGGACACAGCCTTGTTTGAAATTGGGTCTTCACTAATGAAAATGATAAAAATTCTGATTCTGAACTCAGAAAATCCCAACGGATATAGAAAAAAAATTTAATTGTCCTTTCATCGAAGTGCCCTAAGCAATCTATATCATCTTTGATAATTTTAGATCCCAGCCCATAGCAAAATGAAAAATCGAAGGCAGGAAGAAAAGACCAGAAGAAATTCTGTTACTCTAAACTCCAGGCCTAAAAGTGGTTATAAACCAGGTAAAAAAAACTTCCAATATTGTAGACAATATACCCAATACTGCCATGTCTGTTTCTCAAAGAATTTCCAATTTATCGGGATTATAGAGATAATTATTTGAATGGAGAAATGAGTTTCTATTAAATCTGACTGGCTTTCCAGAAAAAAGTCTGGTTCAGGGGTCGAGAACTAGATTAGTTTTTTAATAAGGTGTTTTTTCATAACATGATTCAAGCTTGGAAATTTAAGTCTGCTTTTTAAAAACCATGAACTCTGTTTTTAGGACAAGACAAATGAAAATAAGGTATAGTGTACTTTTTAACAATTTCTTCTATAAGTATTGGGTGGAATATCTCATCTTCTCCTAGTAATTTTCCTGGAGGACATGGAAGGTGTATGTCCCTATGTTTCCTCTCTGGTGAGACTACATATAGCTTCCAGTAGTTACCCACCAATTTAATAGAAAAATTATTTCTGTGCCTCCCAGACTTAGAGATACATTCCGTAGTCTTGGGGTATATATGATTTATATATTTCTCAAATGAAATGATTATAATATGGTGGACTCTCAGGCACACACCCGGACCCTCCTTCAAGGAAGAACGTGTTGCCCCAGCTGCTGGGAGTGCTGCAGCTATCAGCCCCTGTTGTCAGCCCTTTCTGGAACTGCCTCAGTTGCAGAGAGTACCTCACGCCAGGTCACATTTCTTCCCATGAGGGATGAATGCAGGAGTACAAAGGCCTGGCCGTCTCATCTCAACTCAGGCCATTCCAGATCCAGAGTTCCCCACGGGGTCTACCAAGGCTGTCATTGAGCCTGCACTCCAGCGTGATTTCTCTCTGCTCACTCCTGCTTCCTTCCCTCCTCTACCTCAGCATTGAACCCAAGGGCACTCCTTAATAAATCTCCTGTTCACTAAACTCAGTCCCAGAGGCGACTTCCAGGGGGGAAATCAACCTGCAAAATATACCATAACTTTGAAGGTATGGTTATTTTCACAAAGGAAAATTAAAACAAAGTTAAAGAATACCTGTGGACTATGCACACTAATCACATAATACCAGAAAGTTCGAAGGTTGAATAGATAGTCTCTCAGGGTGGCCATTATTTTTACTCTTGTCTTCATAAAGGGAAAACCTTGATCTTTCATCATATAAACACGTTTTCTGAAGTGATAAAATGCTGAAAGTGGTTATCTTTGCTAACTCTAAAGCAGTAGAAAATAGCATAAGAATTTAAAACTGGATGAAAAAGAAATCATTTTTATGGAACTCTAATCAAATAATGAATAATGAAGTAAAATGTGATAAATGTTAAAGATTTTTGTGAAAAGTATCTTTTAAATCAATCCTGAAAATGAAATTAAGAGAACTATTTCATTTACAAGAGCATTCAAAAGGATAAAATATCTGTAAATATATTTAACCAAGAAGGTGAAAGACTTGTTGAAAACTACAATACATTGCTGAAAAAAAATTATAAAGGACCTAAATAGATGGAAAGATATCCTATGTTCTTGGACTGGAAGACTTAATACTGCTAAGATGTTGATAACGCTCAAGCAATATACAGTGCAATACAATCCCTATCAAAATTCCAATGGCATTTTTTGTAGAAATGAAAAAGCAGATTCTCAAATTCATATGAAATTGCTAATGGCCCCAAACGGCTAAGACAACACTGAAAAAGAAGAACAAAGTTGGAAGAACCAGATTTTCTAATTTTAAAATCTACTATAAAGTTACAGTAATCAAAACATCATGGTACTGGCATAAGGGTAAACATGCAGATCAACGGACTAGAATTGAAAGTCCAGACATAAACCTTTACATTTATGATGGGTTGATTTTGAGAAGGATGCCAAGACCATTCAATGGGGAAAGAGAATAGCCTTTACAAGAAATGCTGTTGTAACAACTGGATATCCAAATGCAAAAGAAAGAAATTGGAGCCCTACACCTTACACCAGAAACAAAAATGAACTCAAAATGGACCAGAGAGGTCCTGTGGGATTTTCAGGCAAGCATTTTACATGTTTATATTTACAAAGTTAAAAGTATGAAAATATAATACTTACTTGGTTTTTCTGAGTTACCACTTCCTGAAAAGAAAAAGAAAAGGTGAATATAGCTTTTTTCCAAAATAGTTCATTTCCATAATCAAGTACTTCGTCCCAACTCATCATCCAGAACCCAATTAGAGCAAGAGTTAATCATTTGAAACCTCTCCCTGCAAAAAGCTTCAAATAGGATGAGCCTCAGAGAATTGTAAAATTCATCTTCTAAGGAAAATTTATCATAATTGGTTACTTTTGGAACTACTGGGGGCATAAATAGTTATAAGGATTTTCCCACAGCAGTGGCAATGCTTTTGTACCAAGATAGTTTGAAATTCAGGTTTGGGTCTCGGAATGTCCTACACCTCACCTTCCTAGTAAAGAATGTCAGGGACAGCAAGAAAGTGCGTGGGAAGCCCCATGGTATCTGAACCTCTTCTTGACTCATCAATGTGAAGGCTACAAGGCCACTTCTGCAGTCAGCCTTCCTACAGGAGGAGTGTTGCTGGTTTCCTGAAGGATTCCTGACACCTTACTATAAGTGTTTAGGAATTTTCAAATTTAATGACCATGATTTTAGTCAGTTAACTTAGCATAATGGTTATGCAGCCCTCGACTGTATCATTTATAACCTGCAAGCCAACATTTGCCAAAAAGGAAAACATAATTAAACAGCTGTTCCGTGTTTTACATGTTCTGAGATTTCTATTATCTGATGACAAGCGCAGATTGCTTCTTATGGTATCAGATATAACTGACTACCCATCCATTTCCCTTTTAGAAAATATATTTCTGTATCATTAAAAATTAAAACTTATCTAGGTCATAGGCCTTTCCAGAGGAGTTCATTAAGACACAGCTGAGAAAAAAATTTATTGAATTGGAAAACATATACTATCATTTCATGTTTCTCATCAAAACATAGCTTAATAATCTATACTTTCATATTTTATAATTCTAAATATTTCCAAGAAAAACTACCTTAGTGAAAATCAGTAAAAGAAAATTAGTATCTAAATATCTAAAGTAATTGAGATTGGCTTATAGCCTTTTAAGAAACTATTCTACAATGTACAGTATGATAATAAAATAGTTTCTTCTTTCGATGTCATATGGCTTCTTAAAATATAGTGCTGTGCTATAATTATAGGACACACACACACATAAAGTGTATGTGATATATAACACATGTATCATATTACATATCTGAAGCAGGTGGTGTTTCTACCAGAAAATAATCCCAAATTATTAAAGAGCCCCTCAAAATCTGGTTAATAGTAAACCTCAAGAAACACAAACACCACCCTAAACTATTAGAATTGTGATGGACATAATGTCGGCAACTTATTCTCAAATGGCTCAGTAAAATAAAAGGTTTTTACCGTATTTTCAAAAAAAGAAAAACAAAAATGTCTATCACAAAACTGTTATTTATATACTACTGATTTTTAATGCTAAGGGTGCCAGACATTTAGAAATGATGTCTGTGAAAGTTAACTCTGAACCACTGGTTCTCACCCCTGGATGCACATTTGAGAGGTTAAAAAATCCCCTCAAGATTGTGATGTAATTGGTCTGGAGTGTGGCCTGGGTACTGGGATATTTAAAACCTCTCCAAGTGATTCTAAAGTGCAATCAAGGTTGAATAACACTGCTGTCAATAAACTAATCTTTTATTCCTGAAATGACTTAACAGAGATCAGGACTGTCTGACCAACATTAAGATATTCAACAATATTCCTCAAAAAATGGATATTCAACAATATCAATTTATTAACTGAATTTTGTAGTAACTCACCTTAGACATTCGCATTTTACAAATATGCACATTTTTAAAGTACTATGTTATCCAAAAAAGCGTTTGTATTAAATTTGCAATAATACATTTTTAAAAATTCTCAATAATTACTGAGTTGTGCATGAACACACAATCTTTCAGTTCTGCTCTGATTTAAACTGGGGTAAAAAATAACATTAAATACTAATTATATCTATGCTAAAACTTTCTGCCCATTTTGGTAACTGTTAAATGTTGTCTTATTATTATCCAAGTTGAGAAATGATTTTTTTAATGTGTAGGTTTGGATCAAATTGTCCATGAAAGAATTTAGAGTGGTATGTTTGCGTCAACGGAAACTAACAGGAGTTTTGGCTTCACTTCCCTAATGAGCCTGGAAACGTTCAAGTTGCCTGCAAATGCACATCTGTATCACATATGCTCACACAGTGGCCGGGAAGTCATCTGTGTGAGCTAGAATCTGTGGTAGGAAGGAAAGAATTGCACAATCATCTATCGAATATTCAAGAGAAGGGGAACAATTCCCTTTACCTTCAATGAAAGAGCAGTGTCAGCGTTGGTGTCATGGTACAGGATCACATTATTGGCCATGTCAAAGCTTTCTCGAACTCCAAGATGGTAGAAGAGCGAAGGCTGTCTGGAGACATCATTCATGTCCACCACAGCAACATCTGAGATGAACAAGGAGAAGAAAGGGTGTCAAGGAGAGAGGTGTTCTGTCTACTTAACCCACTTCCTGATGAACACCAATGGGGAGCTACTGTAACTTGTATTTCTACCATGAACCTTTAGGCAAAGCACAAGTGAAGGGTGATTTGATTAAAATTACCCCATGAATTCCAGAAAAGCAATAAGATTTAAAAAAAGAAAAAAAAAATCTCTTCTTCAAATGCTGGAAATATAGCCTCACTTAAAAATTGCTGATGGATTTATTTTTAATGTTATTTTATTAGGAAATATATCATATCCAGAAATATATTTAGCTTATATAAGAAGTATAAAGTATAATAAAATGAAAAACCATACAGCCCAAAACACAGCATTATCTGTACTGTCAGAGCCCCACATGACACTTCCTAATTACATCTCCTCCCTCCTGCCTGAGGAACATCTCTGTCCTGATTTACCAGTTCCCTGCATATAAATGCATATATGTAAATGCAGATTACATATTATTATAACATATGAATTCCTAAACAGTATATTGTTTAGATTTGCATGTCTCTGAACTTTATACAAATAGCATCACATCATATGTATTCTTCGACATGCTGTTTTTGGTGTGACACCACCAATTTTTTTGTCTAGCTCTAGTTCATGCATTTCCACTTCAGCATAGCATTCCATTATATGATGAACAGATGTCAATTTCTTTATCCATCCTGTCTAGAGATATTGTGTTCATTTTTTTTTCTTTTTCCTATTTCAAACTGCTGTAATAACATTCCTGTGCCATGTTCCTGGCTCACATGTCTGACATCAACTTGACAATGAAGATCAAATGCCACTGGAGCTGTTTACTAGAGAGACCTATTCAAAACAGGGAACAACATATCACATAGATAATGAGCACGTTTAAATTTCTTAGTAGTATTGAACACTATTTCAAAACTCATCATTTTTGAGAGTATTAAAGCTCCAAGTTTGATTAGACCTTCCCTACCACATGTAGAGATTTTGGAAAGTAATGTCTAAACTTATGCTTGCACTGCTATGACTCACAAGAAGTCACTGAAAATCCCAATGAAACAGAACAGAGGCAAGGTAAACAGGTGTGAAGAAACCAGGCAGCATGCAGAAGTCGCATCAGCACCAGGCACAACTGGCTCTGCACAGAGACTCTCTGGGACCGGAGGCCAAACCTTTTACTCTCTAATTTATGGATTACCTGCTATATGTCAGGCACTGTACTGAGTACTGGGATAGAAGTGTGAATGAGACATAATCCCTTTCCTCAAAAAAGCCTATAATACAGCAGGGATGACAGGAAGGATGTGGTGGTTAGAATTACTGTGAGGAGGGCTAAAGTGAGGGAAACAGCGACAGAAGCACCTGTGGGAAGGTACCTAACCCACATTCTGGTGGAGGGTGTTCAGGGAAGGCCTGGAAGAAGTGATGTTGTCTGGGACCTGAGGGTTCATAAGAATTAGGCAGGCAAATCACAGTGAGGATGCGGGGGAGGTGGTGCAAAGGGAAGGAAAAGTGTTATAGGGAGTGAAGACAGCAAGTACAAAAGGCCGGAAGTAAGATGAGGTATAGATGTTAGGGCCACTACAAATAATTTCATGGAACCATAACACCTGAGAAGGTGAACTTGGAAGGGTTAGTAGGTGCCAGGTGGACGGGGCCTGAAGGCCATGTTAAGAGGGCTGGACTCTACCTTGGGGCAATGGGAAACCTATGGTAGGGTTTTTAAAATTTTATTATGTAAAATTATAAACATATCTAAAAGTAGACAGAATAGTATAATGAAACCCCCATAACCGCTCCTTACCTCCCTCAACAATCATCAACTCACGGCCATCCTTGTTTCATCTCTACTGCCATCCACACCACCCTTCCACATTATTTTGAAGCAAATCCCAGATATCATATAATTTCATCCCCAAATACTTTATTATGTGTCACTAAAAGGTGAGAACTCAAAGAAAAATAAATAACCATAGTATCAATGTTTCATCTAAAACATTTTTTCAAAAAATAATCATGAGGGGTTTTAAATAGGAAACTAACATATCCAAATTTACCCTTTAGAGCTTGCTGCTCAAGAAAGGACAAATCGATATGCTGAGGAAACATTTTCAACCAAGCCTGGTAAATCTGTCTCAAACAAATAACTGTTCCCCACAGATATTTGCTTGGAGTCAAAAATCATACTGCAGCTTAATAGACACTCTTCCTATATGATTGTTCCCTGGACTCTATTACCTACTAAAAAAAAAAATGTGTTTTCTAGAGATGCTATTAAGAAGTAGTGACATAGATACTAATTTCACAGCAATGGGGACTGCTATAATTAGTTAATAAAGGAAAGGAAGCAAAAGGAAGAAGACAAAGGAGAAGGATAGGAAGGGGCAACAGGCAGGAATGAAGGACAGCAGCCTCCAAGTTATGCAAGCCATTTTCGTAGGAAATCTACAACTTGGTGGAGTAGTTTATCACTGAGTAGGTAGATTAAGTTTTAACCTGGCAACACAGGTTCCTTATTTCCTTTGCCTTCTCAACATTCTCTGCTGGGACCTGTACAATGGCCTCATCACCTCCACTGAGGAGCCCCTCCATGGCTCCACCCAGAGTTGGGATAGACTTCTCGGTGCCTAATTAACACAGGACACATTGATACTGCTACTCAAAAGCAATTCTGAGTAATTCATGTTCAATAGGAAAATTATCTCAAACCCAAAATTTACATTTTTTGCCTGACATTTGTCACTCCAGCCAGTAGACTGAGTTTACCTGGAGGATTTATACCATAACAATATTCAACCAGCTTAGTTTTAGAACTTCTAAGATACTAATTTAGCAGATTTATAATGCTAAATATGATAAAACACCAGATTGGAATTTTTATTATGTATGAGGAATCGAGGGTTTCTTTTTCCCTAAAGACATCATAAATTATCTTAAAGCTTCGATCATCACCATGGTCACTTGCTCTGCCATTTACAAAACACTTCCACAGACATCTTTGTTAAATTTCAAAACCACCCTGTGAGGCAGGTAGGGTAGGGGTCAGCTCCACTCCGCAGGAAGTGTAATAAAGCTCAGACAGGGTAACAGATTCATCCAGGGTCATGAAGCTAGGGCAGGACAGTCAGGGCTGGAACTTGGCCAAGCTAGGCCTGTGCTCCCCAGGGCCACCCTGAGGCTTACTACTTTCCTGACTCACTTTCTGAAACTGAGCCGCCTGGGGACAAACCATTTATTTATCAAACTAAATCTTAGACAAACAGATCACAGATAAAAAGAGATAAAATTCAGATTTTCATTCACAAATGTATCCTGTGTTCCCAGAAACCACTACCTTCCAGTTTCCACTGACAGCCTGTAAAGAATAAATCATTCTCTTTGATCAAGGACCACACACCCACTCCACCTATCTCGGTTTAACAAACCTTAAGAAGTGATACCACATCAGGGACTGCAAAAAGCCAAGGCTTCTGTTAAAATCTACTCTTAGCAAAAAAGCATCTGAATTTAAAATCAAAGTGCCCTTCAAACAACTTAAGGCTCAATTACAATTAACTCACTACATGCTAATATGAAATAAGATGAATGATGTATTGAATTTTAGTTCATTAAAACTTTTGAACACTATCTCTTAAACGTTGTTTTTGTGAAATGTTTTATAAGTAATAAAACAATTTTCTAGTGTGGTTTTATAGTATTTGATTTCTAAAGCAAAGCACCATTCAATGAAATGATAGGATGGCAAATGATTTACCATGTACTAATTCTGTGACTGTACTGGCTCATGCAAGTCTTAACTATATTCTAGGTTATCTGTAAATCTATCCCACTCCCAGCAGAAAAAAGAATGAATATAGTAAAATTGGTTGTGTCTAAATGAAAAGAACTAGATTTTAGAATAATTTTCCTGTCAAAGACATTTAAAAATATTTCACTGGACTTGTGACAACATTGGCCATCCAGAAGCTACCTAAAAGCAACAGAACCCAGATTTACTGGACAGGAGGCACCTCTACAAACTCCAATCATATTTAGATCTTACTTCGCCTACTCTGCTCATTTCCAACATACTCTAGGGCAGGTCAATGGAAAGAACATTGTGAAGTGTCATTTATATCTATTTTTCCAATCTCATAAAGAGGAGATACTACTAATTCAGTGTCAGGAGGCCAACAAATCCTTCCTAAATGCCACATTGGATGGGTACTAATTTCTTAGATTATCACAGTTTCAACTCGAAAGGTAGGTGGAGAAGAGTGGGGACATCAGGAACCTCTATCTGGTTGCCTATCTTTTGCTTTCCAATATCGTTTTTATAAGAAAGACAAAAAATAAATCATTTTTATAGCTTTATAAGTATGATCAAGATATGTCCACTACCAAACAAGATAAAAACTGATAGATACAGACAACAGTTAAGTGGTTACCATAGAGAAAGAGGGGAGGTAGAAAAGGGTAAAGGGGGTCAAATATGTAGTGATGTAAGATTTGACTTTGGGTGGTAAACACACAATGCGATATTCAGATGCAATATACAATACAATATACAGACGTGAAATGGGGAGCCCCAGCAAACCAGAAAGTACAAAGCCAAACAGCACTAAAAAGGCTTTGAAATCAGAATGACACCATAACTGAAATGGAACTTGGCAGCCTGAACCAACTAGACCGACTGCCTGCTAAAGCAAAAATATCAACAGACTCCATAGGATATAAACCAGGCCTAGAATCTCATAATATTCAAAATGTTCAGGATACAATCCCAAATTACTTGGTATTCAAAGAAGCAGGAAAGTTTCAACTCACACAGGAAAAGACAATCAACAGACTCCGACAACAAGATGACACAGACATCAGAATTATCTGACGACTTTAAGCAGGTATTAAAAAAAAATCTCCAAGAAAGGAAAACACCTCTGAAAAGAACAGAAAAAACAAAGTCTCAACAATTAAAGAACCAAATGGAAGTTTTAGGACTGAA